ACCGCGTGCCGGGCCCTTGGGCTCCTTTCTAGCGGACGAGGTTGGCCGTGCGATAGGTTACCTTAATTACACTGTTTCCTCCTCCCTGGACGCATTTCCCAAATCTCATTATAGCGCATGTGACACCCCGTGACCGGCCGGAGTGGGAGGTTAGCACAAAGTCCCAGCAGGACAGCCAGCTCCTGGCGCAGCCACAGGCCTCTGCCCACGTGGTCCTGCGGGATGCCAGGCTCAGTTCGGACCCTCCCCCGTGGCCCGGCCTGTGGGGCGGCCGTCTCTGGGCCTGAGTTCGCTCCCACGGGGGGCCCTGGCCCCACCCTTCCGGTGAGCTGGCCCTCTTCCTCCTGCACTTTGACGCCTGTGGCCTTGCAGTCGGCATCTATTTTGAAGGTTCCCCTTGGATCATGTCCCACTTGATTCCATGTCCCGTTCCTCTGGACGAATGTGCCGGCGCCTGCTGGGCGCTGCCAGGCTTGCGGACACTTGGCTGCTCTGCCGGGTGTGCTCTCTCTGCCCGGGTGAGAGCTGTCGTGTGTGAGCGCCGGGCTTGGGCAGCGCATTTCTCTCTCCATCCAGGGTTATCGGGCCCGAGCCTCCCCGCCTGGCCTCAGGGGCTGGCGGCCCTGCAGAGGGTGCTGGCCTGGAGCATCTGAGGGGCCTGGCGGGGGCGGCAGACCTGTTTCGCTCCTCAGATCCAGAGGCCCTGTCATACCTTAGAAGAGTTTTGAAGACCAGCCTCCAAGCCCATTAAAAACCTTCCGTGACTAAAGTTTCAGTGTGAACACAGTCCTCCGACCCAGCTGGGTCTTGGCTCCATCACTGGGGAGGGGACGTTGGTTTCCAGGGGAAAGTGTGAGTGGGAACCTGGGAAAAAAATTCTGGATGGAGGGCAAGTTCAATGAAAAACCAAGCCTCAAACTGCAGGTGAGTGGAAACTCTCGGAAACTGACACCCAACACAACCAGCAAGGGACAAGCGTCAGGGTCCTTTTGTGGGCGAGGGGCACTGACTGGGGTTGAAATGTGAAGATTGGACTCTGCGAGCAGCCAGGCTACGTCAGTTTTAAGGAACTGGAGGCTCCCGTAAAGCCAAGGTGTTCAGTGCAATGGTCTCACTGAGTTTGTCTCCCCCAGCTGGCCCTCGGGTGCTCGGAGCAGCAGGTCAGCATTCCATGTGGCCTCCAGGGCCACCTCGGTGGAGCCTGCCGTGCGGGTTGTGCGGGGAAACCCGGTTCGGGGCTGGTAGAAACCTGTGCAAAGCTTTCTGGAGCCACAGGAGCATCAGGAAGAGCACAGGGAGTCGGTGCCTAAGCGGCCCGGTGGGCAGGGCAGTAGCACCCAGCCAGGGGCTGGGAGCCCTGCAGCTCGCAGAAGCCTCACCCCGGGAATGCCCTCCCTGGGGAGGCTGGTGCAGCCGCAGGAGCCCAGGGTCTCCCCATCCGCAGCATGGCAGCACCAGAGACGCAGAGCCAACAGCGGACCTTGGAGGCCTGGAGAGAGCTGTGCGGCCTGGGGCCCGGCCCTGAAGGTGGAGGAGGGACTCGGGTCCAGAGAGCCCTTTACTAGGACAGACACAGGTGTTGCCCTCTGATCCCAGCTTCAGGGGCAGACCAGCAGGTGAGAGGGGCTGACGGGGCCTTGGCTCTGCCCTTAGATGCTCCCTCAAGTTCAGAGGCAACATGACAACCTATTATGCAGGAAATGAGCAGCGTCAAGAAAGAATCACGCAGGTTCTGTGTGATGTGAATTAACGCAAATGGTAACAGGAAAAGAGACTCATCAGGGCAGCTTCTTGCCTGGGTCTGAGCTGTGGGCGGCCCCGGTGTCCTGATGTCAGAACACTTCTTCTTGGTGACAGTGTCAGAACCAGAGAGATAACAGCTTGATTTCCAGGGCCCAGGTCGAGCCTGCCTGGCTGGCGAGAGGCTCTACTGCTTTGTCAACAAAGCAAATGTGACTCCAAAGTTGCCAAGAGAGAAAAAAAATCCAGGTCCTTTTGTGCCACTTTTAATATAACGGTACTTTAAGAACCCCGGCATGTCTTTATATCATTCCAGAATCTTAAGAATTCACTTCGGTGTGGGACCACTAAGCCACATTGGGACGTTTCTGAAAAAATTTCTTTAAAATTACCATTTCGAGGCCATGAGTGTGTGTGCCTGGGTGTGTGCGTGTACGTGTGCACATGTGTGAATGTGTGTGCATGTGTGTTCTCGTGTGTGCACATGCACACGTGTGTGTACTCACTACTTTGCATCGTATGCCTTTCAAACTGGCTGTTTCAGGAGGGGAAAGGTTTGCATTTTATAAACAGGGCAGCAGCCACGAGTGGTTAATGTTTTTCTATATCCAAATTGAGTCGTGCCTTCAGAAGTCTCAGAATGGACTCAGATCATTTTTTACGACTGACCTCAAGACATCCAAATTATTTTCAACTGAAAAGGCATCCAAGATTTGAAAGGACCCCGTCACCCCTGAAGGAGCCAGCACACAGATCGGAAGGGCGGGGCTGCTGAGAAGGGCTGAAGCGTCTCTCAAAGAGGAGATGAAGTAAACATCCTTTGAATCGCTGGATGCCAGAGGGGGCCAGGGTGACATCTCTGGATGGCTTCACTGAGACATACAGCCGATTAGATATTAAGGTCAGGTGCTAAGAAATCAAGGTCATGCCACATTGCATTTTTCTCAAACAGCTGAGCCCAGATAAGTTAAGCAGTGGGGGATAGCGCCCCACAGATAAGGCGGCAATTTTTAACAATCTTAAAATATTGTTACAGCAAGGAAAGATGATAATATCAAAGCCCCTGGAATTATTTAACTGGTGCCGAGGCTTCTTTTGTCCTCCACGTCCCCATATCTTCCCTTTCCTCTCACTCCCCCTCAGTGCGCAAACACACTCACACGCACACACACACGCGCACACACACATACACACAGAGGCACCCACGGGTCCTCCGCCATTTCCTGGAATATGCTGTTACACAGATAGGCTTTTGAATATGAATGCGGGAAGTGCTGTGATTTTTTTCCATCCCCAGACTAGGGTGATTTATGGCCTGGATTACGGGAAACAGTAATTCTTTGCTCTTTATGATGTTTTGCAGGAAGGTGCAGTAGCCTGCAGTCAGAACAGCGTGATTTCCACTAGGTTTTTACAAAAAGGTCTCGCCACGAGGGTGGCTGTGAATTGGACAGCTTCTGTAGCAGAGCAGTTAATAAGACACTAGCGCATTAATCATGTGACAGCTATTGGGTTTAGCAGGGAAAGGCACTGGCTTTTGAAAACAGCAATTTAGGTTACTGCTGTGTTGAAAGAGGTTGGCTGAACACTCTGTTTTTAACCCGTGGTTAACAGTTGCACTGTGTTGGTCATTTTTACAGACATCTTTTCAAGTCCCTCAAACATTCAATAAACCTAATGAAGTCATTATCTCCTATCTTCTAGCCTGATGTCACTTTCCAAAGCCAGACGCATGTTGAGGATTAAGCCAGTTATCTAGTAATTCTGGAAAAACTGCCAAGAAGTTATTCTGGAATTATCTGGACAACACATAAGCTCATCCACTTTATCATCCAGACCTGGCAGTTCCCCAACACATTTTGTAGTAGGGGAACTGGCAAATCCAATGGTGCCATTTGCTAGTGAAATTGATAACTCCTCTTAATCATGGTGAAATTTGTTCTATATAGAAGCTGACATCTAGAAACATACTGGAAAAAAAAAAGGAGCTGGAACTCAAAAAAAAAAAAGAAACATTGGAATTTCAGTTCTTTGGACCCATAAAGGGTCATGGTATAAAGCTTGAGAAATAAAATGAAAGTGATTTCATGAATTTGTTTATAGGAAAAAACAGTTATCAGTGTGAATGTTGTAAGAAACAAAAATACTACGTGTTGAAATCCAGCGGTGAGTAACTTTTGTTTTTCACTCATTTACATCGATCTAAGCAGTGGTTATGAAGGTCTTATTTATACAAAAAAGGAAACATGGTTACTGTTCATTAATCATGGTCCACTTAAGTACATTTTTATATCCATATTTTATTGCTTTGTAATAATTTGTAATAAATTAATAAACTTAGCATGGAAATTTCTTGATTCATTAACTCTCTACTTAGCAATAGAGAAACATATTAACAATACAGTAAGCAGAATGTTTACTATATAGAATGATCTAGACGATCTCATTTTATTAGAAAAATAATGAGCAGCTTATATTTGTATGTAAACATAGACACGTGATACTCCGGAAAGGGATGCAAAAATGCCCTAGAGATTACCTTCAGACAGCAGGCACGCAGGTGACGCTCCACGTGTGCCTCTTCCTTCAGACTCCAGTTCCACAGGGTGGGCCCGGCTGCTCTGTTCACTCACGTTTCCCAGAGCTGAGCTCACATCAGTTACCCAACATGTACACTGAATCCACAAAACCAAAAAAGGTATTTGAAAAAATAACTGACAGTTTATTGAAATTAAAGAAGAAACATCACCTTGTAATAGAAAAAGAATGAAATAAAATGCATCACCATTAAATGATAGCAAGATGACTGACTGTTAAAATGATAGTCTACCAGAATTTTTTTATGGCATGGAAATTGGTTTGTGACATATAATTAAAAGAAGGAGGTACAAAGATGTATGACAATCTGAGTCTATCTGTGTGAAAAACGGATGAATATATCTCGGCGGAGAGTGGTTTGGAAACAAACGCACATGAGGCATTCTCAGGATCCAGCTATGTGCAATGAGATAATGGACGCTTTCAAAGTTTTTAAAGAAATTTTGCTTATCTTTATTTTCTCAACTATACATTGCTATAGTAACGAGAAAGCAATGAATGTTATTTTTAATTAAAAATAGGAATGTGCAATAGTTTGTTATGTGTTTAAACAGCATAAAGCTATAATCCATTCAACAGGGTGTATTTTTTTCGCCAGCTCCTATTGCAACCAAGACGTTTCAGGTAATCTGGATCTCGCCTCCCAGGGCGGTCTTGTCAAAGTTGCATTCCTACCCGTTGAGCCAACACCAGGGCATCTTCAAACCACACTTCCTCTGACTCCCAGGAGCCTGGCTTGAGACCCTCCTGGCTCCCTGGCCTGGGACTGACTGTTCTTGTTTCTCGGGGGAAAATGTAGCCCAGTTTCTGAGGAGACGCACCGCAGAATTCCATCCTTTGAGATGCTGGGGTCACGTTCGCATCACTGGATGGCACTGACATTTAAAATATTGTGAGTATCGACCACAACCCCACAGTGACAGGGAAGTAGATGAGGAGACAGAAGCGGAAACACAGGCTGCCACCCTCCTGACCCCCCACGTGCCTGGTGGGTGCCAGGTCCCCAGGGGCGTAAGGCATGGGAGGACAGTGACGCCCAGCTGTCTGGCTCTCACGCCACTTCCAGAAAAGCCCCCTCTGGAGGCGGGATGACCGGTGCACGTCGTGTCCTCAGTCCACTTTCATTCATCAGGAAGAGGCACGTTTAGCAGCGGAACAGACGCCCTCTGCAGTGGAGGGCGCGCAGGAGGGCCGTGCTGGGTTTGGGGGGTTCACTACATGCATTTGGGGTCCCCAGAGCTCTTTGTGTCTTTACCCAGTGGTGGACTTCGCCTTGCAAGGAGTTTTACGTGTTGGAACAGCCAGGCCGCACGTCGACGGTGCGGAGTGCAGAGCACCTCTGTCACTTTAACCGGCCAGCACTTCAGGGAGCTAAATGTTCCGCACTACTTTTCTTAGACTTTGAAGACGGGCCTTGCTTTCTGCGCCCCTGTCTCCCCCTTGGAAGGCACTGTCTGGGTTCTGTCTTCTAAGGACCTGAGAACGCCTTTCATTGCGGGGGCCTCCCCAGACGTGGCCCCTGGCAGTAAGCTGCCATGGCTCACACATTCCAGGCACTGTTAGCTGGGAAGATGGGACAGTGTTTGTCTTCCACATTCCAGGCTCAGGGCGAACACTTTCTTTCAGAGACAGAGAGCCCGGCTGCAACCTCACCCCAGGCTGTTCAATAAAGCAAACATGCAGCCCAGGACACGGGGTCAAGGCTGATGAGATGATGGGTCTGGGCCCTGGCCCGGAGGGCCTGCGGGGAGGGGCAGTGAGGGGGAAGGGGGGTGGGGAGGAGGGGGAGGGCCGCCAGGCCAGGCAACCTGTGTTTTGATGCCGTCAGCATGCTCCAGCCTCCCGGCTACAGAAGGCACTCAGGAATTTTGTGTCTTGCTGAACCTCTTCCTACCAGCTGGGGAGTGGATTTGTGACTCGGCGGAGGAATGCCCCTGTGGCTTGTCTCTGTCGGGTCCCAGGGCACTTAGGGATGATGCAGCCTAGTGAGTTATGAGACCCTTAAAACAAGCCCTTGTCCTCTTCCTTTAATCTGTGAAATGGGAAGATGTATTTCACAGGCTCAACACACTGACTTACAGTACTGCCTGCAGTTCCTTTTGAAGACACGGTCCATGCTGACTCGTGGGCTGATCGGTGTTTGTACTTTTCTTCTGGAGCAGGTCCTGTTCCATCCTCATTGGAGTATGTTTCAGTGACATGGTTTTGAAGCCACTTCCTGACACATCCCTCATCATGATGTCATCTGACACAAGAAGTCCTGGCTGTGTGTGTCAAAGCGGGGACTGCAGGTGCTTGCAGAGACTAGGGGTGCGTGGGAGCCTTGGCGTGGGGAAAGAGCAGCCGCCCCCCGCCTGGCGACCACACAAGGCCGTCAGAGGACACAGGCACATGCACACCCCCTCCAAACTGAGTGGTTCCCCCACCCACCAGTGACTGACTCAAACACTCGCTGTCAAAACTAAGAGCATCAGAAAGCAAACCTGTTGTAACTAACTACAGATGCAAAAGTCCGAGATTAAGGGTCGGCCTGCTTACGTTTAAACAAACATTATTTCAGGAATGAAGGGACAATTGCTGTCAGGACATCTCTTTACACAATGCACTACACCATCCACTTTAAGGAGAAAAAACACAATCGAGTTGACTTATTCTAAAAAGACACTTGATGAGACTTAGCAGGTATTCCTAATAAAATACGTGCATCGGGCAGAATTAGGCGGGGGTAATTTAAATATGAAGGAGACAATTTGTAAAAGTCAGTAGCAGGTATTATTCAAGAGGGCAAAATGCTAAATTAATTTCCACACAACTGGGAATACGATGGGGATATTTACTATCATATTATTATTGATATTATAGATGTTTCTAAGAAACCTGAAAAGATAAGAAAAGCAGTCTTTAGACTCTTGTAAAGGCGAGATCGAGTCATTCTCCTTCCTGACGAGATGAGCACGAAGATGCTGTGTCTGAGCTCCTCACGTGTTAAGAAGAAGGAACGATACTGAAATCCTAGAAACAGATCCCCGTGTGTTATGGAGACCTGACTAAGGAGTAAATTCAGGAAGAATGGGGGAGACTCTTAACTAAAAAGTGCTAATAGCAGTGGTTCTCTGGCCAAAATGAAATTAGCTTGGCTTCTCTCTCTCATCATGTGCAAAATACTAAATGGACTGGGTGCTTAAAGGTAGAAATTTAAAAGGCAAAAATTATAAGACAAAAATTAGACAGGTGATACCTCAAACTTGAAGGTGATTGGGTCTTGTTAAGCAATTCGGAAGCCATAAAAGAAATAATAAATATGTTTAACCTATTTGGCTACTTGAAAATAGAGCACTCTCTGTAAGGCAGAGATACCGTGGAAGACAGGAAAAGTACTGCACTCCAGGGGAGCCAGAAGGTTAAGTTAGAAGGGAGATAAAGGGTTGAAATTGACACACATATAGAGAACATTTATAAATTGATAAGATTAATGCAAATAATCCAGAAGAAAATATGCAAATATAGACGCTAGACCAGCAAATCCATAGAGACTAGCAGCATACAATAAGATACTCCACCCCTTCCCTAATCAGAGAAATCCAAACCAAAGTAACAGATCTCGCTTTATACACACCAGACTGGAAAAATTTTTAAAAGCTGGCTGGAATGTGGGAAAACTGTCCTCTCACAAATTTTTAGTGGAAATGTAAATTGTTTCATCCTTCTTGGAAAGTAATCTGGAAACTTTTATTAACGTTTAAACTAATATTCTTGACATAGCTGTGCCATGTATAGAAACCTATTCCATAGAAATAAAATGTCAGACTGCAAGACCATTTTTACACAAGAGTGTTTATTACAGCATCTTTAATACCTAACAAAATCAAACCCGAAGGAAGTGCCAATTAATATGAAAATCGTTAAATAAATCTGGCACACTTATAAAACAAACTATTACTTAGTTTCTTAACCAACAACCTGGAAGGAATCTCACTATGTACTATTAATTGAGAAAATCAAGACTGAGAGAAGTTTAATAACACATAATACATTTTCTTTAAGAAACTATGGTGCGTTGAATTATGTATGGCCGCCCAAAGGTGCGTCCAAGTCCCAACTTCCCTACTTGGGAGCCTGACCTTATTTGGAAGTAGGTTCTTTGTAGATGTAATTATGTTAAGACTCTAGAGATGAGATTATTCCGGATTTAGGATGAGCCCCAAATCCAATCTCTGCTGTCCTTATAAAAGACAGAAGAGGAAGATTTGGGACACAGATATACAGAGAGAGAAGGCCACGTGAAGAAAAAGATGCAGAGATTGGACCCATGCATCTACAAGCAAGAGATGCCAAGAATCGGCCGCAACCACCAGAATCCAAGAGAGAAGTGCAGGATGGTTCTCCCTCAGCGCTAGAAGGAAACAGCCTGCCACAACTCTGATTTCAGACTTCCCGCCTTCTGAGCTGTGAAAGAATTTATTTCTGTTTTAAGCTACTCAGTTTGTGGTGATTTGCTAACGAGCCCCAGGGCACTAACACTAATGCAGGAACTAAGGCTGACGCCCTCCTGGCATGCACTCTCTTCAGTGACCCTTTCCATGTGCTGGGAAGACGGAAAAATGCCCGCCGCCCTACAGCACTGGGTGCCTGTGTCTTGAAGACATGAGAAGAAGGATGTCGGTGGAGGAGAGGTGTGGGGCCAAGGGAGGGGGACTTTTGCTCACGTTAATTCACAGAGTGAGTGGTTAAAGCCCTGAGGCCCACGGGGT